GTGGTGATCTCGTGCTGGAGACGATCAGTATGACGAAGCTCGTGTTCAGCGTGGAGGAATTTCTGATGGAGGACATCAGGGCGGACGCTCGACAAATGTTGTCAACACGCAAGGGCTGCGAAGATCAGCCGTGTTAAGGTCGTTTGATGACACGTCCAACGACACATGCTCAGGAGCGTGTTACAGCTAGCAGCCTTGCGGATCATTTCGCGGTGTGGCGAATCCTGGTACTCGAAGCTCCTGCAGCAAACAATCTATTGCCGGATCATAGTTGCATGATGGTCGCGAACATCAATTTCACATCCAGCCTGCACGCGAGCTTGGCCACTGGATTCATTTTTTGTCGGTGGCAACGCTACTGCCCTCGATTGCTCCCGTCTGTGCGGCAAACGTCGCTGTCGATGACGCCTTCAGCTCTCAGTAAGGCTTACTGTAGCGGGCATTTGATTGACTTGACAAGTGCTGCTTCCCTCGTTGAAGTTGTTAACTCGTGTCACGATGCCGACGTGATCGGTCTGATTAGGACTTGATTTATTGGTCGAACAGCGGGAGGCTCAACATCCAACGCTTACGATGGTAGTCGCGATTTGCACCGTGAACAAAGGAGTGAACCGTGGAGATCACCGATTGAGCCTCCGCACCTTCAAGAAAGCAGCCCTGACCGTCGAATGTGGTCGACTACAGTAGGTTCTTGAACTTGAGAAGGAGTACATGAATGCTGCAACTGCCTCGAGGACCATCCACGAGTGCCCCTCGATCACCAAGCCTGGTGACTAGGATCTGTTGGCGGCGTAACTCTGTAGAATTACAACGGCGGCAGGCTCCGGTCTCTCATTCTTCAATTTGCTTCCTTCTCAGCAGCAAGACGATGACACTGTTCACGGCTCGACTCCATCGCTCGGCTGCCTTCATCGGGTGCATGGCATTGGTCTCCAACCTGTTGACATCCGTCACGACGGCGCAAACGACGGTCTCAACAGGTGGCACGAGTGTGCATGTCCTGTTCCAAACGGACAAGTGGGTTACGCCTAACATCCACTACAAGGCTGGCAGCGGCAGCTGGACAACCTCGCCTGGCGTCGCTATGTCCGCCAGCAACAACTCTGCCTACCCTTCTAACGACGGTTGGTTCCAGTTCGATGTCTCCTCCGCTACTTCACTTGAATTCGTCTTCAACGATGGCGTCGGAGCTGTCTGGGACAACAATAACAATGCGAACTACAAGGTCTCGGTAGCTGGAACGTACTCCGTCGTCAGCAAGGTCTCTGATTTCAAGACGGGTGACCTCGTGCGCCCCAGTGACGGCACGGGTTACCACATCCTCTTCCAGCCGATTACATGGGCCAAGCCGTACATGCACTTCAACGCTGGTAGCGGCTGGACGACTGTACCGGGATACATCATGACGCCCAGCACTTATGCCGGCAAGTTCTCGGCTGCCAATGGGTGGTACCAGTATGACATCTCCTCGACATCGAGCGTAGAGATCACGTTCAATGACGGCAATGGCGTCTGGGACAGCAACCTCAACGCTAACTACATCCGCACGTCCCCGGGTACTTATGCATTCGTGAACCAGAACACTGCGGCGCCTACGACTTCCCCATCCGTCCAGGGATACATCAACGGTCCAGGTTATAGTGTGACGTCAGCAAGTGAAGATGCCGGTGTACTCACTATTAACCTCGCTGTAAACACCGCTTCGACCTCGACCTCGTACGGCTCTGACCTGTCGGCACTCGTGGTGACGGTCACCAAGACGGAGAAAGACAGTGTCCGCGTGAAGATCCTGGACAAGAACAGCAAGCGCTGGGAAGTGCCCAGGGACCTGTTCACCGCCGGTTCTCTGGGTACGGACAGCACGGCAACGTCTGCTGCGACGGATCCGCTGTACTCGTTCAACTACACGCAGAATCCGTTCACGTTCAAGGTGGTGCGCAAGTCCGACGGCTACACGCTCTTCGACTCGTCTGGTATCTCGTTGGTGGTGAAGGATCAGTATCTGCAGGTGGCGACGGCGCTGGGCAGTGATCTGAGCGTATATGGCATTGGCGAGAGTACTCGCGACAACTTCAAGATGTCTTCAGGTGACAAGCAAACTCTGTGGGCGCGCGATCAGGGATCCGCTACTCCTATCGTCAACACTTACGGATCACACCCGTTCTTCTTAGGTATCAACAGTGCCGGTCAGGCCCACGGTGTGTTGCTACTTAACAGCAACGGTATGGATGTGACAATGGACAGTGGACACCTCGTTTACCAGGCTATCGGTGGTGTACTCGACTTCAATATCGTGGTTGGTCCGACCCCAGCGAACGTCGTCTCGCAATACACCAAGCTCATCGGACGTCCAAAACTCATGCCGTATTGGTCATACGGATTCCACCAGTGTCGTTGGGGCTACGGCTCTGTCGATGCTCTCCGTACTGTCGTGAACAAGTACAAGAGCAGCAATCTTCCGTTGGACGTCATCTGGGCCGACATTGACTACATGAAGAACTTCCACGACTTCACGCTGGATCCAGTCAACTTCCCACAAGCCAAGATGGCTGCCTTCATGGATGAAATTCACAGTAGTGGACAGAAATTCGTACCGATCATTGACCCCGGCATTCCTGATGACACGAATGACTACGCATACACAAAAGGTTTGTCGATGGATATCTTCATCAAGGACACAAGTGGCAAGCCGTATCTGGGTCAAGTGTGGCCTGGGCCGACGGTCTTCCCGGACTTCTTCCACCCGGACGCAAAGTCGTACTGGGGCGAACAGATCCAACTCATGTACAAGAGCTATAACTTCGACGGTCTCTGGATCGACATGAACGAGCTGGCGAATTTCTGTCCTGGAACCACCTGTGTCCGCCAGTCCGGTGTCACGTGTCCGAACACAGGAAGCATCAGCGCAATCACGACGTGTTGCTTGAAATGCTCAGGTGACGGTAACAAGTTCGACAACCCACCGTTCGCGATCAACAATGTTAATAGCCGTGACGCGATCTACAACAAAGGGATCTCGACCAGTGCCTTGCAGTACGGCAACATCCGCCAGTACGACACTCACAACTTGTACGGCATTACCGAATCCATTGTGACCAACGCTGTCCAAGAAGAGCTAGCCAACAAGCGATCCTTTGTGCTGTCGCGGTCAACGTTCCCTGGAAGCGGAGCTCACGTTGCTCACTGGACGGGAGACAACGCCGCCACTTGGAACGATCTACGTTGGTCGGTCCCTACTATTCTCAAATTCGGGCTGTTCGGTATCCCCATGGTCGGTGCCGATATCTGTGGATTCTCAGGAGCCTCCAACATGGAACTATGCGCGCGTTGGACAGCTCTGGGCTCGTTCTACCCGTTCGCACGCAACCATAACAACCTCGAATCTCCGGCGCAGGAAACTTACGTCTGGCCGGAGGTGGCGACGGTAGGGCAGAAATTCATTGGCATGCGCTACCGTCTGCTGCCGTACATCTACACACTCGGCTACCACGCGCATGTGGACGGTCTTCCTATTGCTCGCCCGTTGCTGATGGAATTCCCGACGGATACGGCCACGTACGGTATCAACCACCAGTTCATGTTGGGCAACGCATTGCTGGTGACTCCAGTTGTGAACCAGGGCGCCACGTCGGTCACAGGTTACTACCCTGCTGGCGTGTGGTATAACATCTTCGATTACTCCAAAATCTCCAGTACGGGACGGTCTGTGACGACGACGGTGACTCTGTACGACATGCCGGTGCACATTCGCGGCGGAACGATCCTAGCGATGCACCAGGCAGCTCTCACGAGCACGGCCGCTCGTCTCACTCCTTTTGATATCCTCGTTGCGCTACCTGCCACTGGAAGTGCCAACGGAGACCTTTACTTGGACGACGGCGAGACAATTAGCAACCCGAGCGCCACGATCGTCAAGTTTGCTGCGTCAGCCGGTACTTTCACGTCTACCGTTGAGAAGAACGACTACGCCGGTGCTCACTCAAGCCTGGTGAACAAGATAATCGTGCTCGGAGTGACGTCGTCGCCATCCAGTGTTTCTCTGGGTTCTATCTCCAAATACGATTCCGCCACGCAGCGTCTGGAGATCAGTCTTTCAAGCGTCAAGCAAGCCATCGACACGAGCTTTACCATCACGTGGAAGTAAGTAGAACCCTTCCAGCTCAGTATGTGCACAGCGATGTGATTTCTACCAAAACATTGATATTTGTCGTTGTATATTCTGAATCCCTGCGAAGTACAATGTAAACGATACTTGTACTGTTCTTTTGGTTACTTTTTATCGGGATAAATAACATTGGAGCTTCAGGGACCACAAGTCATACCGTGTGGCCACCATGGACACTAACATGTTGTTACCGAGTTTGGCGGTATCAGCTCGATCGTGTCGGCAGAGCTCGGTGACGACGATGACGGTTTACGCGAACGAGTTTACGAAGACACTGGATCATGCGGCAGGTTACGATGCATTGCGATTACGGGTAGATGTAGCGATGGTTGTCGGTGTAGAGAGGAGGTAGCATAGGCAGCGATGAAAGTCGCTCGATTCATCTCTCATTAATAAACATTCGCTCTAGACAGCAAGTCATCCGGATCTGCGGGATAATAAATACAGGCGCAGCATTACGGAACGAGTAGCGGGTACAGTAAACATTTGTCATCCGATCTTTTCGCATTACTGAGCCAAGTATCTGTCGAATTCCCTAATTAAGGGGCAGCTTGTAACCAGTCGTTTCCACCTCAAAGATACTCCGAGACCTCGCCCCTTTCCGTACTTCGACACCGATGTCGAACGTGGATGTGAATCTAGTCGTTTTGTATGCTGCGTCCTGCTCGCTCGCTCTCTGGGTTGCCACTAGGATTCTATCCCCCGAGCGGAAGCGGGCAGCTCGACACCGCGACTCACTTCCATTGTTAGGTGAGACGTGGGCAGCGATCAAGCATGCTGAACACTACTACGACTGGGAGGCTGAGATGACCGAGAAGATGGAGGGGAGGCCTTGGATGTTCGACGTTGTCGGTCGACCGACCGAGTTCGTCGTAGGCAGACCGGAGATCATCGAAGATATTCTTCTCACGCAATTCAAAAGTTTCGGCAAGGGTGAATACGTCCATGAAGTACTGAATGATCTCATTGGGGACGGCATTTTCAGCGTGGATGGTCACAAGTGGATGCGGCAACGCAAAACAGCGAGTAATTTGTTCTCCATGCGAGAATTGAGGGAGTCCATGGCGACGATCGTTCAGGAAAATGCGAATACTCTAAACGGAATACTCGAGTGTACTATGAGCAAAAGTGAGTCTCTGGATCTCTTCCATTTGCTTAATCGATTCACGTTCGAAGTCATCTCAGAGATCGCCTTTGGCATCAAGTTTGGGGGTCTACTCTCGGAATCGGAACATCCAGTGGAGACGGCTTTCAACTGCGCACAGCAAAGAATGTTTGAGCGATTTCTAGAACCGACGTGGCTGTGGAAGCTTCAGAGATGGTTAGACATTGGGAGCGAGCGAAAGTTGAAGAAGAACGTCCAAATTATTGATAATACGTGCTACAACATTATCTCTCGTTCGATAGAGGAGCGACACACTATGGGTAGTACTGCTAGTGGTTCAAAGAGAAACATCATATCACTGTTCTTAGACGGTGTTAGTGACGGTGCCAAGATCGAACAAGACCTTGATCCAAAGTTTTTAAGGGATATCGTGGTGTCTTTCATGACGGCAGGTCGGGACTCAACAACTGCAGCTCTCAGCTGGGTCTTCTACACTGTGAGTCAGTATCCCGAGGTCGAGAAGAAGATCCGTGAAGAGATCATCTCAAAGGTCCCAGAGCTCGCCAGTGGTGCCATTGCGTCGCCGTCCGCAACCCAAGCGAATGAATTGGTGTATCTCGAAGCTGTTGTGAAGGAGGTGCTTCGTTTAAACCCCGCTGTGCCGTCCAACATCCGTGAGGCGCTTGAAGATGTTGTTTTGTGTGATGGAACTATTGTGAAAGCCGGTGAAGCTGTAAGCTGGTCGTCTTACTCCTTGGGAAGAATGCCTCATATTTGGGGTTTGGACGCAAAAGAATTCAAACCGGAGCGATGGATCGACGCCACCAGGGGAAAACTCGTCACTGTATCCCCGTGCAAATACCCTCTTTTCAACGCAGGGCCTCGTAGCTGCCTTGGTACCAAGTTGGCAATGATGGAGATAAAGATCACCGCTGCTAGCGTGTTGAGCAAATACCATCTGACTGTTGTTCCGGGACAGACGATTACCTACAGGATCGGCTTGTCACTCGCCATGAAAAACGGTCTCAACATCAAGGTTGAGAAAGTTAACCGTCCATCTTGCTAATGCACTCAATGATTGTCTCTGTACGAAGGTAATCATAAGAAAATTTGATGTTTGGCGCTCGATACGCCAGCCCCCGCTTGGCTTTATTCCATTCCGATGCAAAGCGCGTCTCCCACATCGCTGGTGAAGAATAATTATGCGTATCCGGACGGACTCGAATGATGAAAGGTGGGTACTTTCTTGCTTCAGACGATAACATAATGTCAAGAAATCTTGTGATCGTTTCATGAAAGCATGTAGCAACATCGACAGCGTTCCAACCTCTGACTCCCATAGTTACATCGATACTTGACCGAGGACGATCTGGAGACCGTGGACGTGAAGCAAGTGATACAAGTGTTTCTTCACCGAATGCCACTCCGCTGAGCTCAATAGTTCTTAGATTGCAGAGACTCTTGAGAGCTTTCAATCCTTCATCCGTAAACACATTGCTGGGTCCAAAGCCATGATGAACTGAAGCTTCAATCAGCGCTAACCTCTCTAGTAATGGACAGCTATTGGCAACATGTCGAAGAAATTGATCGTCGAGACACTCACTCTCTCCCTGCATATCTGACAAAAGGACCTCCAGTGATGTAAGTCTCGGGCAGCCGTTAAGTACTGGAGCGAATCGATTCGACGGCGAGAGCGGTTCGACGTGGTGTCGCTCTTGAAGAACGTATTCTCTTCTCCATAGCGCAGTATTTCCCGGTAGTACCAGCGATTTCAGCTCAAGTTTTGGATACAAAGCAAAAATGGCAAACATTTCCTCGCTGCATGGTAAGCTGCACCAGTTCAACGACTTCAAGTGGCTACATCCCTTGCAAAACGCCTCCCAACTTTGAAGACTTAACCGCCTCATTTCGACACTGGTGAGTTGTCTCTTTCTTGTGTATGCTGCGAGTCTTAGTCCTTCGATATGTTCCAAGTGTGGGCAATATTTACCGATCATGGCAGCAGTAGCATCCACATTTTCATTTGGGAATAACGAAGAGAGAACGAGTTTCTTCAATCCACATTCTTTAACTGAACGTGATCGAGACAATGCATCCAACGATGCCAATGCAGCATGGAGCGCTTCAAGCACGTTGTGAACAGATCGCCGTCTGTGCATCAAATGTGTTTGTTGTGGCATCACCAATTCCTTTAGGTTTGCACAATTTTTACTCATAGCCACCAAAAGCGATACGAGATGATCCGACTCCATGGGTATACCTGACAAGTCCAGACGCTCAAGATATTGGTAATTGGAAAATATGTCTTCCCAGGACTGCAACATTTTGTCTTCATCAACTTTGCCACTGTCATGAATCGTAACGTCAAATGGGTCGTTCATCCAGAGCTCAATTCGCTGTCGTGATTGCTTCGCCATAGTAATCTCTTCCAATAAGCGTTTCAGCTCGTTGTCAATATGTTGCGCTTTACTTTGTGCCTGCATCTCCTCACTCTGCGGCGTGACCAATGCTCTCGATTCGTTTTCTTCCAATAAACTCCGAGTCGGGCGACTGTATGAAGAACACGAGAAAAGTCCCCACATGAGCTGCCAAATGCCCCCGGAAGGTGCAGCATTCGTTGAACTCATTTGGCCATTAGCTCCTGTGGCGATTTCAATGCGCTCCTCGCCTCCATTTTTAATGTCGGCGGAAGGATCTCGCTGAAACTTGAATATCACCATCGAGTCACGAAAATGACTTTCAACGTCTTCCATCGCGGACTCCCAAGACTTGGAAACTGCTGCAAGGTTGCGGATCGCTGCTCCATTCCGACGGTTAGTGGCTAGATCCTCTCTGGACAAGAGCTTGATTGCTAAATTGTCGTGCAGGAAGCTCAGCAGGTTGAGCAGCACGACCACGGGCAAGTCGTCCAAGCGGTCCATTATCCCTGTAGGAATGGCTACATTATGATGATTTTGTGTTTCGTACATCATATAGCCATTTCACTGCTGGTGGTGTCAAAACGTCAAGTGATCAGCATGTCGAGCAGCTACAAGCAGAAGAAGATGAAGACGCTGGCTACGCGCAAGAAAACGCGTAAACGCCGCATTGAGGAAGGTATGACGTTCGAGGACGACTCGGGTCGCTTGTTCCAGCCACCGAGCACGCGCGACCCGCGTTGGAAGAACCCTTCGATCGAGACTGTAGTGTCCGGCATCACCAAGAGCAAAGGGCAGAAGAAGGCGGCTAAAAAACGCCGCAAACTTGTTGCCAGCAAAGACAAAGATAAAGATGATGCAATCGAAGTCGTCCAGCAGGAGTCTGCCAGCAGCGACGAGGAAGTGGAGGAGCTGAGCGACGAAGAACCCGTCAATGATGCGCTCTTTGATCTACCGAAGACGCCTTTGCGGTTGTGCACGTCGCTGGATGATGTGGTGGCGAAAGCTATAGCGAAGCACGCGGAGATCCGCCGCAAAGACGGTCGTCAGAAGACGAAGGTGCTGTTGCTGGTGGATGCGCGATCAATTTTCAAGCTCATGAAGAAGAAGATGAACATCCGTCCCGAGATGGTCAAGGCGAAGAGTAAACTGGGCGTGAGCTCCAGTAAAAAGCCTGAAATGGCGTACAAGAACACGGGTCTGGTGAAGACGCCTCTGGACCGCTTCAAGGACGTCAACAAGCCTGTTCTCACGGGCTACAAGAGCGGCAAGTTGTCGTCTGTGCTCGCTGAGGATCTGTCCTTCTACCCGTACACGGAGTTCAAAGTGCAGCACGTGATTTTCGTGGCCAAGAACGCCGCGTCGTCCATCAACCTGGATCGCAACCTGCTGCGCAACGTCGAGCTGCACTCGTTCGTTATTGACGACAAGAGCGCTACGAGCGTGTCAGAGGACGAACTCAAGGCGCTGGAAAAAGCCTATCAAGTCTCAAGCGCTTAGTGCAGCAGTTCTTGTTAGTGTTTACAGCAATAGAAGGTGACGACTATTTGTGCTCGAAGCATGCCATTATCATGTGCGACAAGGTATTCGATTATTTTTCGCTTGGTTTGAGTATGGGATCTGATTTATTGGTGTGGCGCACATCGATCGTTAACCGCAGAAGATCGTTCATTATTGAAGCTAGCTGCTCCTGAAGCTGAGCCACCCGCACCTGATACTTCCCCGATGGCCGACGTGGCGCCTCCAGTAGACACTCCAGAGGTGCCTGTAGATGGCGGAGGCGTGGACCCCGTCGCCGTACCGAGCGCCTCGCCAGCGCCTGAGGTCTGGTCCGACCACCTGAACACGACCGACTATTCGCTGCTGCTTGGGCTCCCATTGGGTTCGCTACTGGTGATTCTGTTCATACTACGTGTACTATGGCGGCCCAAATCGGGTCCCAAGTTCCGACTGCCCAAGCAGGTGCCAACGTACGGCAGTATAGCGATGGACGACGATAGTTACGACTACGACGGGGACTCGAATGACCTCATCTACGCCGGCCAAGTGGCGGGCCGCTACGACACGCGCTGGACGCGCACCTTCGACTTTGTCTTCCTTGTGGGCATGACGCTCTTCGCTGCAGCACTCGCTGGTCTCACAACGTTGCTGGAGCCCGAACTCTGGGAAAACACGAGCTTCTGGTTCTTCCTGCTGCCCAAGGTACTCATCATGATGGGCGTATCCACACTCGGAGGCATCATCTGCCGCTTCTTCTGCATCGTGGACGACGCTGGCTACGTCATTACGGAGCGTAATTCCGTGTTCAAGGTCAACTACACGCGGAAGTTCCAGCTATTAGCGGCATACCTCGTGCCGCTGTTGGTTAAGCCCGACGAAGAGTCATGTGCCGCTTGCAATGGTCCTCTAGCACTGGCATGGGGGGACTTTGTGACGCTCTTGTGTTTCTTGCTGCTCATCAAGCCTATCCGCGAGCGTTCCACGCTGTTTATGCTGCAGTTTAACTCACTCGATCGCCCTGAAGACCGACCACACACACTCAAGTGGATTGTGGCCGGTAACGTCTTCCCCGGTCTCTTCGTACTGCTGTTCTTCCGCTGGTTATTCGCCCGTACGACGCAGTCCGACCTCGTCTTCATCCTTGTGTTCGTAACCAGCATCGGTGACGGACTGGCGGAACCCATTGGCATTGCATTTGGCAAGCACAAATACTCGACCAGTACGTGTTGCTCCAAGCGCAAATATACGCGGAGCTTTGAAGGCTCGGCGTGTGTCTTCCTGTCTGGTATCGTGTTCCCAGCACTGCAATACGCCGACTTTGAGACGCCGATGCAGCTGTGGCTCACGATGATCATCCTGCCGTTTGTAGTGGCCTATGCAGAGGCCACAGCGCCGCATACGATGGACGCTCCTGTGCTTATGGCAGCCACGGGGCTTGTGCTCTACACGATCATCCACATCTTTTAACCACCAAAGTCAGCAATCTACGCATGTAGCCATCTGAGACCAGTAGCCATCAGGAAGTAACGACGAACAGAGTTGGCGATTTATTAACATGGTGGTGCCTTGCTCTATCCTTCATAAATGATAACACCTTCCTTCGGAATAGGTTGCGGTGGTACGTATTGTTTCGGGGCGGGAGGTGCGAAGGTCTTCTTGCCCTCGGAAAACTTCGCGAGTGCAGCCATGTGCTCATCAGTAAATGGGTTCGTTGATGACGAGTCTACTTGTAGCCATGGATGTTGTAGTGCCATCGCAGCAGGAGGACGCTCTCGCGGATTTAGCACTAGCAAATACTCGATGAACTTCTTGGCCTGGTGAGAAACCATCGACTCGAGCTCTTTAGGGTACTCGAACTCGCCCTTGACGATCTTGTCTTCCACCTGCGACATAAAGCGAGCGTCGAATGGGAATTGTCCGAATAGCAGGACGTACGTGACGACACCAAGCGACCACAAATCGATAGCCCAGCCGTAACTTCCGTGCTTGTGGAACATCTCGGGCGCCATGTAGTGTGGCGTTCCGTTCATACCCGACATTTCACTGCCACCGACAGTACCCATGTGTGCCAGGCCGAAATCGATGAGCAGTACGCCACTACGCAAGTCTTGTGTCTTGCACAAAATGTTCTCCACCTTCACGTCGCGGTGGGTGATTCCGTTAAGGTGCAAATATGCCAGTACACTTAGCAATTGCCGGACAATTTCAGCCACATCGCACTCGCGAATACGCGGAGCCCCGGGCCTGCAGATCGCGTCCATAACCTCACCGCCCGTCGCCTTATCCGTCACGATGGCAAACTTGTCCTCGTCTTGGAACACCTGTCGCAGTCGGAGAATTCCTGGGTGTTTGACGCGACCCAGGATGGCCAGCTCGGACTGCAATGCTTCGACGCGGTTGGGTGTGGACAGATACTCCTGCCGTACAAACTTGACGGCCACTTCCTCGTCGCACTCGCGTTCTTCTCGCTCACGCTGTTGCTCCTCCGCCAGCGTCTTGGCGCGAGTGCGGTAGTGCGGCCGCTTTTTCTTGGCCACGAACACCTGACCAGTCTTGCCTTCACCGATCTGGTACAGAATGTCGTACGTGTCCTCGAACGTTGGTTTCTTCTTGTCATGGAGACCAAAGCCGAGGATGCCCGACGCAGTCATGCGGTTGTCCTCGGTCGAGTCCTCTAGAGATCCTCGACGGCTGAAGCAGCTGAAGCAGCGTAGCATGTTGCCGTCGCTTGTTCCGGTTGTGTTATGTGTATCGAATTTTTCGATGTGGAAGCGTTTAGAAGCTTTCACGTGAACGGGAATGAGCAGCTCCGATCGGGTGGCGGAATGGCCATGAGTGACGTACGCGCTCTGCCCTTTCGTGGTGACAACAATGCAGATATGTCGCGTGAAGGTCGCACGAAGAAACTGTCTTTTTGAAATGTAGCCATGTGCTTGGCGACTTTAGCACATGACAGGCTGGATGTCAAGTGATTGCCACCAGAACTTGCAGTCTCCGTACGGTTGTATGGAAAGCAAGTGTTGTGGACAGCGCCGTTCATTCAGCGGCTCAGCTTTTAACTGGCGTGTCGCTTTCGACTGTCAAGTTGAAGGCTTATGTCGACAGATGCGACTCTTAGAATGAGTGGGAATGTGGTTACTAAAAAGGCAAGAACTCCTCCATTTAATAGGTCAGCGCTCGTGTAATGCACAAGTTGTAAGCGAGCTACATAGTTCCGTAACTACCTTTTCAATAGGGCTTGAAGATGACATAATGCCCCCCAACAATGGGGGAATCCCGAGAAATTAAAAAGAAATATATCACGTTGAAGCCTTTCGGCAACGCAATTAACGTTGAAAACTGTTTGTCAACCTGTTCTGCTAGTTTATCCTATACGAACAGCGGGTCCTTTTAGATCGTAACTACGAAGGTTCCTGCCTAATATGATTACCAGATATGCGATTTTCACAGGGAATACACTATGCCTTTACGTCGCACACATTTATTTTTCGAGCATCCGACGAACATGAGGAGCTCTTTTGAGATGACAATGATGCTGGCCGTGACGGGGATCACAAACTTCTGCATGTTCCCCGCCATCCACAGCCTCTACCGCCGGCAGTTCGTCTTTGAGGTGCGCGGCAACTCGTACTCGTCTCGTTCAGGCAACCCAGCTTTCGAGCATATCTTACACGCGTATGGTGAACTCTGCAGGCATTCATCGGCATGTTCACAATGACCACCAGCTTCATGTACCACGTGTGCGACAGTATTGATGGGTCGCTGTGGCTAACTGAAGGACAATGGCATCGGCTTGACAACATCGGCGCCATCATGAGCTTCGTCAGCTGGAGTATCCATCTCATGGACCTGGGGCATCCGGTACTGGAGCGATATGTGCAGTACTTCTTTTTGGGAGTGGTGCTGGTCTTCCAAGAGAAAAATCCGTGGGACGAACTTAACTCTGTAATCCCCGTTGCTGGCAGCTTCGTGCTGTTACTCATGACGTTCGCGATGCGAAGGCGCGTGCCCAAGTACGACTACCAGCAATTTAGAAGAGGGCTAATGCTACTGGCATGCGGAATATTGTGCTTCGTGCGCGGTCTGGACGACGACACCGACCCGTTTCGGTTTTTCCACGGCTGCTGGCACGGCTTCGTTGGGGCTGCCGCGTACTACAATTTCAAAGTGTTGCCCGACCGGAATGCCAAGCGAGGATCGCACTTGCCCATCAAAAGGCAAGATTAAATGTGCGTGTAAGAATACCTAACGAAATAGACTGTTAACAGAGACTTGTAAGACATGGGTGTGTCTGCTCTTCTGTCGATGTGGATGGTAGGGTGTGTGCAGCATTCACTCCTCTAGCCTTGACTCCCGATCATCTAAGAGTTTGTCCTCTAGACAATTAGGTGAGCTGCGTCTAGCCTGGCATGGTTCGCCGGTAGGAAATCCACGCACAGTAAGGTACAGTATGATGCGACGTCGCTTGTGAACCGAGCTCAATTCGTCAACATCCGTAATCAGGTCACGACAAGGAGATCGCGGCGGCAAAGATATTTTCAAACCGGCGAAGTTGCTGCATGTTCTCCACGACGAAAAGCATACGCTGCACCGAGTTGCACACCATGTAGTAACGTCACTCGTAGTCATTCGTCCGCACATTCGCGCTGCCGAGACGACACATGGGTTCAAACGAACACGTACTTGTTGCCTGTCTGTGCATAGTTCCGATGCATTTCGGCCAATCACATGGCGATCGCTTCTCCCCCCTCCGGCGGCATGGGCAGCTACGGCAGCATCTCTCAAGTCGATCTCGAGCAGCAAGAGGAGCACACGATGAGCCTCGCGGACCGCCTGTACGCGTACGACCTGACGTGGTCTACCAAGCTGTACCACCGCTTTGGTCGCGACCCAACTCCGCGTCTGTGCTGGGAGATTTTCTCGCACTCGGGCGATGGCTTCCTGTACGTTTTACCTGCTTGTTCCGCCGGTGCGTTCTATGGGGACAAACCTAATGGCAATTCTCTGTTATTGATTTCAGGTGGATCCTGACGATCCCGCCGCTTATGGGACTGCTGTGGGTGGCCGGTCTCATCGGTCCTTTTGAACCGGCCACCAAGATGCTGCTGTCGGCGCTCTTCACGGTCATGACGGTGGACATCATCGCCATCATGCTGCTTAAATTCGTGTTCCACCGTCAGCGACCGCCCTTCCACCAGGCAGACATGCGCTTCGTAGGACCTGACCAGCACTCGTTCCCGTCCGGTCACTCCACGCGCGTGTGGGCCATGGTGGCTATGCTCATTTACATCGCCGAGACGCATCCGTGGATCCTGCGCAGGTTCTTCTACGACCTGTCACCGGCGGTGCTGGTAGCCATCTCGATCGTCTGGGCGCTAGTCATCAACTTCTCGCGCGTGGCGCTCGGCCGTCACTACCCGACCGACGTGCTCGCCGGCACGCTCATTGGCTTCTTCGTCTTCTGGCCAGTCTCACTCTTCTTCATCAACCACTACAACATGCTGGACGCGCCGCCCCCGCCGTACTGAGCTACTCGCAGTTAGGTGAGACCAAGAACAGGCAGCTAGAGACTGTAGCCAGGAGCTTATCTTCTCCAGGTTAGGTAGCTAGAGTGATTCAACAAGGTGTACCCTTGTCTCTTTTTGTAAGTTGGCGTTCACAACGTCCTGCTATCGTGCTGGACAAAGTTGTCCACCTCGACCGTTACGGTATCCCTAACTTACTGTTACAGTAAGTGAGGTGCATACTCTATCTGAAATCATTTGCTTGTCAAAGCTCACGCGCCCTTTTTCTTTTCAAATGGGTCCCCCCATTCTCGCCATTCGAGCAGCTCCAGTACAACTGCCCAGTACTGCTCGATAATCTCCGCTCCATTTTAGACGGAACCAGAACTCCAGGACGTCCGAGCGGCGACCACAAAGGCACCCCTTAAATAGTCTCCACTCGACTGTTTGTCAGTTTGCTATTGTGCTACTCCGTTGACACGCAAATGAGCACCACATTTGGCTTCGGAGAGTACGAGGCGTTGCTGCTCTGCGATCGTGTCAACTCGGCGCTGACGTTTTGCAGAGAACTCTTCAGTCGAGAGTACGTGGTGCAACGCGTGACAAGGCAAGAACTTGCTATTGCAGTCAAAGAGAACGAGAGCCAATGGCGCGGAGTAGCGAGGATTCATGCAGGACACGTCGTCGTCAGTGTCGACGACGTTCCCGTGCGTGGCTTATCGTCCCGTCAATTCTCTGAGCTCTGGTATCCGCCAGCTCCTGAGGCTTCAAACACGATAAAATATAGGCGAGTTCGTCTTCGTGACCGTAAACGTGCTGAACTTGAAGTGGAGATGCAAAAGCAGTGGACAAGTTCAGGGCCAATGCGGTTCACTCCAGTTCAAGATGATAGTGAACTTCGAGCTAAGATGACTGAAGTCCATGAGTTGATCTGGTCTCATCAGTTGACAGAGGCCCATGCGGTGCTGCGCTCCCTACCTGCTGGAAGTGACCCAATGGTGTGTCTATTGGCCGCTGAGCTTGAGGTGGTGCGAGTGCTGGTGTCCAAGGATGTTTTGTACTTAAAGCAGGCCCAACGCGCAGCGAACCAGGCGGTGGCTTGGCTCGAGAGTATGCACGATTTGACTTCTCAATCATATTCGAGTCGCAAGCAGACGCAGCTCGCACTAGGTGAAGCCCTCTTCTTGTCGGCTCTGTTACGTCTGGGAGGTGACCAACGTCTAGCTGCAATTGCTACTGCGAGACGCTGCGCAGCGATTTACGTCGAATTGAAGGAGAAGTTCTTGATTTCTACAACCAAGAGAGAAAAGCTGCTGATACCTGACAGAGAATTGCAAATGTTTCAGAAGAGGATTCGATTTGGATTGGGCGTACTTCACGTCGGTGGAGCACTCGCTTTGAAGAAGACCTCGCTGGAATGGATCGGTGTGTTGCTTAAAGGCGCGTGTGATATAAAGAAAGGTCTTGAACACTTACTGGACTGCGGCACAATCGATGAAGGTGGTCAGGGTCACCTTCAAGCTAACTGGGCTGCGTTGACGCTCATGCACTTCTCGACTGCAATTCGCCTTATCCAGCAGCGCAATGGACAGGGTGTTGACCTGCTCAATACATCAATCAGTGTGTGTAAACAAGTTGCACTTCAGCGCCACCCGAAGGCACTGGTTTTTCTTTGGAGCCAAACAACCACCACAAATTTCGATGTGGACCGCTTTAAACGCCTTGAGATCGAATTAACTCGAGCAGTAAAAGACGAGGAACGGGCTCATCTCGTTGCTTTCGATGTTGGATATCGACACTTTCTAGCCCGCGATTTCGACCGAGCATCGATGCAGTTTATGCCTATCTGCAAGTGTTCCAGTGCACCGTCAAAGCTGCGTGGACTCAGTAGCCTCTTCCTTGGAGTTGGATATCTTCTGACGTCTCATGACACTAGTGAACTAGTCCTACTAGATACCAAGTTGTTGACCTCGGTACGACTACTTCTACGGTCAGCTCGGCGGTTCTTGGCGCTTCGATTAGAGGACAAGGCAGAAGACTTTGAGTCTGCGTCGTTGCATGAGCGGCTTGGAGATTATCTGGAGAGAAGTGACGAATATCTGCTGCTCCTTCCTTGGGAGATTCTGTACGTGTACTATCACTCCACCAAGACGATCGTGACGTCTTTGAAATCTGACGTGGTTCAGCATCAACACCATGTTGCTGCTATGGAGCATCTCAATCATCTCTTGAACTCTGCAACAACCAAGCAGAATTATGACACAGAGCTAACTCTCCTCCGAGCCATCGTTCTCTTCAATCTAAAAGAGTTCGATACCAGCGACAATGAGCTTCAAAAACTCTGGTCCGATAAATTCTCTCTTGGAAGTCCAAGAAGCTCTGCGTTTGGTCGTCTGCTAAACCAGCGGTCTTCTCGTGCACCAGCATTTATTGCCCCAGTGGCTTGGTTTTATCAACTACGACTGATTGTCGAACGCAGATACTCCCAATCAACACTCACATCCCCGGTATCATCGCCAAAGTGCGGCAAAAACGAGAGTGCTGCCACCTTTGCAGGTGTTGTTCAGCAATCACCTTATCCATACCATTACGTCTACAGCGGGAAACTACAAGCACTGAACAAACTAGTTACTCGACTTGCGAATGACAAGATCAACGACAATTGCAGTAGTCCAATGGGACATAACAGCATGAAGTGGTGACGTAGCAAAACATGTTTATTTAAGCTGTAGAATACATGCACAAAACTAGTCCACGCATACAAGTAGTGGATGCGTAAATGCTTACAGCAAGTTTGTCTTGGGTCTGATAGATTAGGCAGCGCGGGTGTTTGCAAGTTCATCGTCTTCCTCATCGTTCGTACCGCGTCGTCCTCGGCTCTTCCACGCAAAACGAGACGGGAATGCCGGCTTGGACACCGTGGGGGCAGTGAAGCGACCGAAGCGTGACTTGCTCTTGGCGGCCTGCTGAGCTGGCGGCGAATACACGAACGATTCCTCAATATCTTCTTCAAAGGATTTCGTGGTGCTGTTGTTGTTGCTCGCTGGGACCGAAAGCTTCCGGTTCAGTAGGCCAGCCACAGAGCTCAAGCCGCTGGCAGCGACTGAGGGTAAAGTACTTGATCGATTCTTCTTCTGGTCGATGTCCTTCTCCTCATCTTCGAGGGATGACGTTGGTGAGCTGGTTGGCTTGCTTGAACGACGACTAGAAAGCGCGCTAAGCACGCTCGACGCGCGCCAACGACTGCCACTTTTCTTTCGAGATTCTTGCTCTTCTTGCTCTTCGTTCTTCTCTTCCAAAGTATTCTGGCCGGATACAGGAGAGTCGCTGATGATTGAGCTCGCACGCTCGCTGTCGGTATCAAAATACTTCGGAGTATTGTGGGTCTCTTCATCGCTGAGATTGTGTTCATCGAAGTCCGTCTTGGACGGAACATCAGCGTACGAGTCTCCACGGGATCGGAACACGTCGTCGTACGAGTTATTGCGAGACCGGAACACATCAGCGTAGGAGTCGTTGCGAGATCGGATCGAATCTGCGTACGAATCACCGCGAGATCGAGTGGAATCAGCGTACGAGTCTTCGCGAGAGCGGAACAGGTCGGCAGGAGATTCGTCACGCGCATCACTAAGTGGACTCGACGCCAAGCTGCCTCGAGGAGTGTCCGAGTCCAAGGACGGCTCTTGGAAGAACGAGCCGGAGCGAACAGAGGAAGGCCGGTCGAAGTCGGATATGCTGCTAGGGCGCTCGTTGTCAACCTCAAGTGTTTCCTCCTTCACAGGCGAAGACGGAGCGATGGTCGACATGGGAACAGGAGTCTCTGTGGACGGGGTGGTGTCGAAAGCAGAGCTGTCGTTCTCGCTTGCCCAGTGACGGTTCTCCTCGACACCTGAGTCGTTCAAGCCGTGGACAAGGGGCTTGTGCTCTTCCATCGCGTCCACAAAACTATCGCTGCTCGCATCGCTCTTGTCGTCAGTGATCGTCGAGTGGTCTTCGGAAATAGAAAACTCAAGCCCCATGTTCACCGAGCTCGAAGATGCCCGAGGAGTTAAGTCTTCGTGGGCAAGAGGTGAGTTGATTGGAATACTTGCAGCAACGGGGCTGACAGGAGCAGGTTCCGCCCTCTCGGGTTCGATTAACTGCACCGAAGCTGGGGTGTCCGGAGCAAGTGTGGCATCAACGTAGCTTGAAACGTCTTCAAGCTCTGAGTCATCGTCGCTTTCATCGCTGTCGCTT